AAAAAAAAAAAAAAAAAAAAAAAAAAAAAAGAAGAAAGGTTTGTTTGTAGATCAACTCTACAACTTGATTATCGTCTCTTTGCCCTTCTCAAGATTGAAAAAAATTTAAGAGAATCAGATTCTTAGGAAATTAAAGAAGGCCTTTGCTGACGTTTTCTCTTTGATTTCAGATCAACAACTATGATTGAAATGTTATCTTTACTATTTCTACCATATGCAATTTCAGTCAGGCTGTCAGCAACAACTTGTGCAGGAGACTTTTCCTCCATTGACAAAGATCTGCGGCGCCTTCTAAGAATGTGGCGTGCCACTTCCCCAACTTCTTCATTGGTCATTACATCCCAAAGTCCATCACTTGCTAAAATTAAGCACTCATCCTCGTCAGTTCTGGCTGTAAAAGTTATCTCTGGCACTGGAATAATCCATGGTCTCAAGTACCGATCACCTGAAACATTATCATTAAGGTAAATACAGGACTAGTTATAGACTTCTTTCAAAGATGTCCAAATCCTAATTCAACTTGGAAGACTGTCTATAGTTTCTACAACAGAAGAAAAGAATAAACACAAAGTTTGCATAGAAACTACACGCATGTAGCCTATATAATCCAGTGTTATGAATACCAAAATACGTTTTTACAATAAATGACCTGAATCTTTGTATGTACACAAACAATTTTAGATCTTGATGTTGCTTCTCTATTTACATATAGAACAAGTTTTCAAAGTAAATGCAAATGTTATCGCTGGAGTTTTTATAATAAAGATAAAATAAGTGATTCATAAGAAATTCAAACTAGGTCAAGCCAACCTGCTTTACAACCATTGACTTCACTCATTTGATAACTCTAACTTCAACAAAGCGCACATATCATAGGAAGAGGACAACACTGATGATTGATGTATTTGATTATGCTTTAAGGGTGATTTATATTAGATTTTGTCTCTTCAAATTATATGGAAGGTTATTGACATTTGTCAGACATATTTTGTATTATATTTTGGATTTTATATTTGTTAGACTTATTTCATAATGATATTTTTAATTGTATAGTTATAAGTATTAATATAGGTATTCATAATGGATGAAAAATGTATTGATATAGGTAAAAATTCAAAATACACAACGAAAATACATTTCTCTTGTGTAATTTGAAGTCATACATAATGAAAAATGTTTTTGTTATGTTTGGAGTTCAACAAAAATGTAATTTCATCAATGATATTTTTAATACATTATTTGTTGTATAAACAGTTTAGAAATTTTCAATTAAGTTTTTAAATTAATTTAATTTATAATTAGGTCCTTCATCTTTTTACATTTTTATAATTTAATCCTCAATGATAGAAATTTATTTACAATCCATGAAATTTCATAAAATGTTCTTGATATATATGGACCATGACACAAAATAATAATCTAATATAGTTGTCCAAATATATATAAATAGATAAAGAACCTAATTACAAATTTCTTTTTAAGTTAAAAATCTAATTGAAATTTTGAAAATAGTTCTGAAAGCAAAGGATATATTAAACCTAAAATAAAATTCCACAAAAAGATAGATTGTGAACTTAACAAACACGAGTGTGAGAACAACTGTTCCGGAATCTGACTCGTTTAACAATGCTCTATTTTATACTAGGCTTACATGAGTCAACTAGGCCCATATGTCAAGCCCTACCTCCAACTCACCTACTTATGTTTAAAGAGAATAGAGTATCATGCTCTTAAAATTCTAATCCTTTAATCATCATATCACACACCCCCCCCCCCCCCCCCCCCCTCCTTTTTT